TTATTCAGTATTACTCAACACCTCCTGTAAACGTTGGCAGACAGTAAACATTACAAATATTTGCACTTGTAAATATTTAACTTGCTTCCTAAAATTCATGAAATATTTGAGGATGTCATAAGGAGATGTAAGTTGAATATGTCAAGTTATAGAAATACCAGCATCCTGGATGCCCCAAAGGGAAGAGAAGCTGTGATTGGTTACCACTGATGGAGAGTTTTTTCACAGCCTGACGATGGACTGATCCCTCCAGGATCCTAAGTTCTTCATTTCTCCTCACAAGCCATGAAATGAGGGCCCGAATGGGGTCACATTTATGGGATGAGGCTCAGGGCGGATGCAGCTGGCCAAGGGCACCCAGCAAGGAAAGGTCGGAGCTCATCCCACCACACCAAGGCTGATTGATTTAATGTCTCTGATTACCTCTGAGCCTCAGTCTCTGTTTCCCTGCAATGTGTGTGAAAGCCCCACCCTGGTCAGACTAGGGGGAATGTACTTAAAACACAGGGCCTGGGGCACAGCGGGTGCTTCATCAACAAGACCTGTGACTGTTGTCACAAGGTCTGGTCATTCCTAGTTCTGAAACTGCCTGTTTATTCTTCAGGCAGTGAGAAGGCAGAACACAAGCACAGCAGGAAAAAACAAACAAACAAAAAGTCTCAAATCCTGCTCCATGCAGCTGGCATGAAAAACCCTAGTGAAAAAGCAGCAATAGAACCACCACAGTATGATTCTCTACCTCTTTTTCATAATCCCTTCAGGAAACAAATTGGGGGAATTGGCTTTCAAAATATATGATGTCGCAGGCATTCCCCCGCAGACCAGCTCTTTACAGAAAGCTGGAAGCATTTTGAAAGGAGGGAGGAGATTCCATCAGTGTCATGATGGTGTGTTGAGGCTGGCGGGCTCTGGGCTGAGCAGGGAGTGTTTGAGGGGATTCCAGCTCCTCTTTAAAGATGGGAAGGTTTCCCCAGCGACAAAGCTCAGGGCTGAACAGAGTCCTCTGAGTCCATAGGAGGCCCCTCTCCACCCGAGGTGAGCTCCATGGGAGGAGGTGTCCCTCCGCCTCTGTTGAAGCTTCCTTTCTTGGCCTCTGAAGAACTGTCACTGTCATAGGCTATTCTGCAACGTCCCTGAAAAGCTGTTCTCGCAGCTCCAGCACCAAGGAGGAGTGACCTCTGTCTGGGCAAAAAACCCCAGCTCCATCTGTGACCTCAGAGAACACGGAGCTCAGGGCTTGTCCGCCAGGGCTGTGGGCAGCATCCCCTGCAGGAGTTAATCAGTCAGCTGCCCGGGCCCACGTGTCTCCAATTAAACCAGGGTTTCTTGGGTGGGGACGGGGGCTGGGGATCTTGTCAGCGTTACCTAGGTGATTCTGATGGGCAGCCAAGGTGGAAAGCAG